ACCAAGTGCCATGTTTCTATACATTGTACATGTGTCAATACCAAGTGCCATGCCATGCTTCTATACATTGCAGACTAGATAACTCCACAGATTTTCCACTGAGTCTGGACTTACAACTGGCCATTCCAGAACAGTAAAGGCGACTATACACAATGGGTTAATCCTTTGAGGCTGCCTGGCCTTGAGGAACTTCAGAATTTCCTATCGCTCACAAACGAAGAAAACCTCTCAGCAGAGAGTGGGGCAGCTTGCCCCGGGTGCCACTGGCAGAGAGAAGCCAAATGGTTTCCAAGAAAAACAAAATTTGTTTCTGAAGGGGGAGGGGGCGCCAATATAGTGTTGTGGCCTGGGTGCAGTTATGTTCGCTACGCCATTGTGTTTATTATTAAGCCACAGATGTTTATTGACAACAAATTCTATTAAAACTTGCGGGAAAAAAGTATGCATAGAAGTCTATGGTGTAAATAGTAGTAGTAGTGGTTTGGGTAGCACTGATCACAAAATTAATTTTTCATATAAATAATTTTTTAATGGAATTATTTCAGATCACAAAATTATTTCAAGAGAAATCTTGGGCTATAGATTATGTTAAAAAGCATCAATTATCAGCGAAAGATCAATGGCAAGTTGATTTTACTACCAAATAAATTCATGGATTAAATTTTATAGACGAATATATATTAATAATTCTCAACCACATCCGATATTAGTACAAATTGTAAACATTATTATCGCAAATTAATTTTATAATTTAATAATTAAAAAGAATTTATTAAACTTTGTCTTATTTTAAGTTGTCATCTTTTAATTTACTTGGATATTAAAACAATAAATTTTTTAAAATGTAGAAGAAAATGATAAAGAGTATCAAGATGTTTTATGAAAACGGAAGAAATGAATTGAGAAGTTTTCTAAATATTAAAATTATTTATAATTTTAATTTACTCAAGAAATTTTTGATCCGAAAATAATTTATAACCTGAAAAATTAATTTATTAGGTTATAAATAATAAAAGTTAATAAGGTTATAGAAAATAATTCTTCCAAACATTCACGAGACATTGTTCTCACACACGTTTAGGTCGGCCTGCGCAGTCTGACACTGCGCCAGGAAAATCAAATGGTTTTTCAATTCTACTCAGGTGGTCGGTACAGGTCGCCGAAGCTGTTAAATTGTCCCCCATAAACTACCAAGAATTATAAAGGTCAGGCATGCATGATTACTCCTTTGAGAATTAACCTAAAGAATATGGCCGATTCTACTCAGGTGGTCGGTACAGTTCGCCGAAACTGTTAAATTTTCCCCCATACACTTCCAAGAATGACTCAAAATCAGGCATGCATGATTACTCCTTTGAGGATTAACCCATCGTGTATAGCCGCCTTAACACTGTTCTTTGTAATACACTAGTATATTGTATCAGATATATGCATGGTGAATTATCCTGTTGGAAAAGGTAATCATTTCCACTTAATATCTTTCCATGGCATAGCAATTGCTACTCTAACAACTTAACATATTTTTCAGAGTTCAGACATCCTTCTATATGAATAATGTCTGTCTGTCTGAGTACTGAAAATGCACAAAGACTTCTTTTAGGAATCAAATTATAAATTATTTTTTAACTTAATCCTTTTGAAAAGTATTCTCATCTTCAGAATAACTTTAGCTTAAAATTCATATTTAAACTGTTTTGATTTTAAATACAGTTATTATTTGGCATACAAGAAAGTCTAAAAGAACTTATTAGTAAATTTGATTATATTTCTATATGTGTTTATGTACAAAAATTTTCAATAAAGTAACAATTAAATAAATAAATTATCAAATAAATTAAGTTTTAATTTTTTTAATTTGAGAATGTTAAGTCTTTTCAGATTTTAATACCATTATACTGTACTTATTTTTCCTTTATACTTTTTATTGGTATTTTTTTAATACAAACTTTATGATTTACATTAATTAATACATCTAATGTTTATATAATGAATTACATAAATTTAAATTTTTTATTTATGAATAAAGATTTGTTTTTGCAGTAAAACGATGTAAAATGCAGTAAACACTAAATGTCACTATAGACTTTTGTGATATAGAATCCTTCCCACTAGCATGGAGTTAATATAAGAGCTATAATCTTACACCCCTCTCTCCCTTTCCGCTCTCTCATGTCACCCCTCTTAACTCATGTATGGAAATCCACATTTTAACAGTTGCAGTGGTCACATAGTCTGAACATGACCATTTAACATTATCAAAAATGTTAGCTGTCTTACATTTTTGTCCTGGATATTGGTATATTTTGCCTTTATTTGATAAAAAAAAAAACAATTAAAAAGTACAGAAACCTATGTTTGATTCAAATTAGGTTTAATAAATTTAAATCTGTTCTGCTTTACAAGATTCAATGATTAAACTATAGTTCCTTTTAACTTATATGTACAGAACAAATTTAAAGATAATTATCCACAATAAGCAAAATGATTTATTATTGAATATAGCAATGTTTTTAAAGATAATGTTCGAAACATTTATATCATCTTTATTATGTCTTGATTACAAAAAAGTGGTTTAGCATTACTTAATTACAACACGTTAATGAAGGATTAATTTATCATTTATGTATTGCTTAAATGCAATTATCTATACTACTACATAAAGAGACAACGTATTTTTCGTTTGTGACCACTAACCGTGAAAACTACTAAACCAATCGTTACCAAATTTTAACTGTAGCATCTTTATGACCCCTGGAATGTTTATCACTAATCAAACCTGCAGATTTTTTGTTAAACATTCATATAAATTAAAAGATATCATCTAGGGTTAAGGCTTTTATGTCCAACAGATGGCGCTACGAGTATGACGCCCTAAGTTTGCTTTTCTGTGAGGATGAACTAAAGCAGATCATCTTCTATCTATCTATATAAATAAAAATGTATTGTTCGTTTGTTCCTACCAATTCCTTTGAAATTTTCACACAACGCTGCATTCGAATATGCACGTGTTTTTATATAATATACATGTCGAAATTCCTCCCACTGGGGGGAGATGAACAGGATTAAGGTTTACCGTAAAGAACTCTGCTTCTATTTCTACTATTTTAGATGCGGTGTTTTGCGTTTTTGATTGCGTTTTAATAGGGTATGTCAACAGAATATACACTAAAAAGGGATTTTTCGATATTCCCCCCGTGGGGAGAGGGACAGGATTAAGGCTTACCTTGAAGAACTTGGCTTCTATTATACTATTTTATATGCGGGTTTTTGCGTTTTTGATTGCATTTTAATAGGGTACGACAAGAGAATGTACACTAAGAAGAAATTTTTCGAAAAATTCCCCCCTCCCACACGGGGGAAGTGTTATACATTTATAATAGATACATTTTGAGCCACAACAACACGTGGCGGGGTCTGCTAGTAAAATATAATCTTTAATCATGAAATAATCTTTATTTCTTTATTCACAGCTTTCTCTGAATATTGATTTTACAAGGAGACTCTACAGCTTTGGGGAAACGGATTTTGATGATCTTTGGTGTAGAGTGTACTACCATGTGAGTGTACTACCTGTAAAATACTAAAGTGCAACACTCAAATATAATCGAGAAAAATGAACTTAATTTATTGAAGCAATATTATATAATTACACATCATTATCAGATGTACAGTACATGGTCCTGAATGATACTTATAGTAAAAACATTCAAAACAAAAATTTTGTCTACACCAAGAACAACAAATAAATGCTGCTTTTTTACAATTGCAAGATATTTGTAAATGGTCTGATGAGAAACACACTTCATTTACATTTGTAAAAAACTTTCTGATATCAGAGTTCACTGGCATACCAAGGATATTTTATCATGTCATAAAATATTGATGCTAATAATTGATGATGGATAATTGAATGTTTTTTCAGGCAATCCTTTCGAGAATGAATTTCATAATTTTTGTCCAGTATTTCAGCATTATTTTGTAATCGTTTAATGAAATTTTTTATTTGTCTATAAAAATAGATATCACATGGTTGAACTAACAGTACATTTTGATGATATAATTTTAGTTGTGCATGTAGGCATTTTTTCGTCATCTTGGAATACTTCATAATACAATTCTGCTTTTGTTTGTCCTGTCCATGAGTCAATGAGTAAAAGAAATTTATTCTTCTGAATGCAAGCGTACGAGTCAGGAGCGTTACCACTCATGCCACAGCACACTCAAGCAAAAGTACATGTAACATATATATAAAGTGCTAAAGAAAACTTTTAAGTTCAGTTTTTCTCGATGATATTTGAGTGTTGCACTTTAGTATTTTACAGGTAGTACACTCACATGGTGTACTACCTCTACACTACAGATCATCAAAATCCATTTTCCCAAAGCCATAGGGTCTTCTTGTTAGTATAATATTCTTTGCAAATAGTATCAAATATATGTTTTATAATTAAAAAATCAGCGAGGTTGTGACCAATTTTCACTTTTTAGAGATGAAAACTTCGGCTGCAACCTCGCTATTAATAATATAGCTGATCTAGAATTTTAAGGTCAGTGAGAGTCATAAATGTACAGAAAAAAAAGGCGTTACCTCTAGAAACAAACACGAGCAAATCATTCTAGCCTAATGCATACCTAAAACATTATTTCATATTTGAAAAACTGATTGAAATGTCTTGTAAACAACTTAAAAATTAACTATTCAAACTATTCAAAGAATTCAAACTAATTTACTAAAAAAATGTAAACTGAACTCACTTGTAATGACTCATTCCTCATTAATAATGTCTAGTGGTAACATCTCAGATTTATATTTTACTAATTATTACAGATCTCATAATTTTTGTCGAATTTAAAAGTTTTACATTTAAAACTTTTGAATAAGCATACTTTTACTTAAATTATGATCACTCTTATTCTTTTGATTAAAATAAAGTGTTTTAAAACTGACGTAACGTTAATAAATAGCAACGTAATTACATATAAACAATTACGAAAGATACCTGATATTTAGGTAGACAGAAGTCTTGTTTTTCATTAATTCGGTTCTTGTTTTAAACCTTCTCTTAATTGAAGGTTAAAATTATACGAAAATACTCCATTTATAACACATTAAACGTAATGAAAAGTTTAAGTATGTGAAACGTGGTTTAAAATTGAAAAGCAAATGAGTCTTGCCTAACTTTGTTGTTCATTGATTCTGATTACTAACATCAAGTTTATTTTCAATCTTTTGAATAATTTAAATGCATTATTATTATAATTAAATAATATAATACTAACTTAACCCTAACTACAATAAAAATAATACACACCTTATTATGTAAAATTTTATATAAGTAGTTTTGATTTAGCCATCTGGAGAAGCCTTTATATTTTGAAAGGAAAAAATATATATATATGTATATTAAAACGAAATGAGTATTGAATACATTGAGCAAATTCTTTTTCGTCAAAATACTATTTATCAGAATCACGTGACTCGGCGTATCATCCGTCACGTGACGTATAGGAGTGCGGAATTGCGACAATCTATCCGTTAATTATTATAAATAAATTTCGCTATTTTTATCGTTTATAAATAATATTAACGATTTTTAAACGTTCCGTTAACAATGAAGAATTTATTTCTCCACTTTATAAAATATACTTAGAACCCGGATGTGTCATGGTGCATATTGGAGTGTCTAAATGATTCCGCTTCAATTTAATTTTTAAAAAGATCTCGGTGTAGTAGAGATAATAAAAATTGTTTAAGCATTAATGGTAATGCATGCAAGGAAACTCCCAAGACTCAATGATGGGTACGAGTAACTTTCAATACGATATTTCTATACGTCAATATTCAAAACGTTTCACTCTATGCACCCATTGTCGTTTGACGCCATGTTTTATGTTTGTTGTCAAATTTATACGAAATTATTTTAATATATATCAGTTTAGATTGATCTTTATCATATTATTTAATATCAGAGAGCATAAATAATCGATATTTTTTATGTTACAGGTACATCGACAGAAATCAAGCCCATCAGTATGAGGTTAGTTGGAGAGACCCTATTGGACTCTATTGAAAATAAAGTGACAGAATCAGATGATATATTATATTATTCAATTGAATTTTTAATCAATTTTAAAAAAAATTTTGTTAATGGATGAGGTAAACATGATCAGCTAAATAGGATCTTTATGGGCAAATGCTTTCTATATAGATANGAAATGTTGACAACATTTCTTTCTTCTATTTGAATACATTTGCAATTACAATTTTCTATTTATTAACTGATTTCAATTTTATTAATTTCATGTAATTTCATCAAATTATTATATGAAAGATATTAAACAAGATTTATGTAATTATAAAAATGTCTAATGATTGAAGAATATTCAAATAATTAAAAATTTATCGAACGGAAGCTGCAGTAAATTTTGGGAAACAGATTTTTGAGAAGACAGTTACAGATAGTCTATTGATTTTTTGATTGTTTTGAAAACAAAACACAGAAATCATACTACTTCTGAAGGATCGACTCAGGAAAATTAAAAAATTCTTTATGTCCCAAATAATAATTTTTCAGATTGTTATTTCTACTAAATTATAGTTTATATGAAGGCATCATTAAGAAGAAAACATATTGTGGTAGGTTTTACAAATTATGTAAACATTGTTTAAAGAGTAAACTGTGTGTTAGGTAACATTTTGCACTAAAAATAACTAGACCAAATATTGATAAAAAATTTTTTTTTTAGTATAAAAATTCATATTAAGATTTATTGGTCATGACAGCATAAACATTAAATTATTTGTAATAATTTAATGTTTATGTTAACAAATTAATGACTTCATAAAGTTATATATATTTCACATTAATTTTAAATTTTGTTTATTATTTAATTGAATTTGTTCTAATGTATTATAGGAAAGTTTAAAATAATTAACGATGAAAATATTTGCCCCATTCTTGCTATTATTATTGTTTTTAAATTTCTTGTTCATACAAAAGCTGTCTTATCTGAAAAGTTAATTGAAATTTTAAATTTAACATAATCTTAAAATTAATTTTAATGGTCTTAGTAAATTTATACTAAACTAATTTTATAATGCATTTCATATTCCAAAAAGCAACTGTATATGTTATACTGATAAAATTTCAGATCTTTCAAAATAACAGTTATTTTAAAATGCTTCTTTGAAAAGTTTCAGGTAAATGAATAATTGTCATATCAGTAATATATTCAGTTAAATTATATAATTTATATGTTTGATAGTAGAACAGCTTTATAGTAAATTATTTTTATATGTTCAGGTTTAGATCTATCTATATGCTGTTGTTTAATAATAAAGCATATATATAAACTATAAACCATTGGTAAAATTGTTTTATGTATATTATTATTATATTTATTTATTTTTGGCAAAGATCTTGTTAAAGTAATTAGTTTTGAATGGCAAAGAAGAACCAAAACTAACTATTTTAACAAGATCTTTAAATTAAATTCAACAACTTGAACTGAGTATACTTAAATAAAAACTACTCATATAACTGAAACCCATTTAGAAAAGATGATGCCTGTTAAATGATGTGGATGAATACATTTTCTTTCTTGTAGTTTTTCTTTTTAGATTTTTGTTATATGTATAGTGTTTATGAAAAATAAGTTTTCTTGAAATTTTTTAACATGTTAGTTTGCATAAAGTAATTTGACAATTTAATTTACTAATTTGTTTTTTGTATGTTTAAATTTGGATTTATATAATATAAAAAATTGAAATACTGTTTGCTGTTAAATTGACTTATATTACTATTTTTCCCAGGAATAATTTTTACAATCAATTTTAAATAATATTTTAAAAAAATGTAATTTTGGTTAAATAGTAATTTGTGTATAGACATGGTTTTTTATTGTCAATGTAGAAGCAACTTTCTTGAACATTTGAAGACATCAAATTCAAATATATTTATGTTAAAAGAATGATCTGAACACATCACTTAATTTGCCTTTACAGCAACAAATGTTTTTAGTATGCCTGAAGATGGTGAATTAGACAAAAATATTTGCATACAGTGGAACCTCTATATTCGTCATTAATTTGTTCCTAAGGATCTAACAAATATGGAATATGATGAATATAGAAACAATTTTTCTCATAATAAATAACTGATATTCAATAAATCTGTTCCCATCCTGAAAAAAGGGTACAAGAATAAAAATTATGTTGTTTGTAAAACTTTATCTTTACTGTACTAAATTAAATACAGTATAGTGGTAGAAGGGGAAAAACAGTATTATTGATATAGTATTATTGTTTAGAAGAAGACATATCAATTAAAACATTAGGCAATTCCAATTATGATAATGGGGTCTGTTTTGCCAATGATTCAGTAACACTTGATTTAATAAAGAACTTGTCTAGTGTTGTGTGTTTTTGTCTGCTTTTTAAAACTTTTCTCAAGTAGGCAATTACATTGAATGTATTTGTATTTTGGTTGACTATAGCAACATTTGGGTGCCACTTTGGAGTAATTGGAACTTGGTTTTCTCGCATTGATTATTTTTCAATAACTCAACAACACACACGACGACTGCACAAAGCAGACTGATTAACTATAGCTAGCTAGCATGGCTAGTTGATTAGCTCGGGCGTGCAACTGTAGTGCCACTTCTGATGTTAGGAATGATGATGAATACAGAAAATACTGACAAATATGGAAAAATAAAAAAGCCATCAAAATATGATGAATATCGAATATTACGAATATAGAGGTTCCACTGTATTTTTTTTCATTTCTATGCATTAGTTAAAGCAGTTTATTTTTATTTATTTGTGTGTAATTTACTCTTGAATTTTATTTAAAACTATATTAAAGAAAAAACAAGTAAAACGGCAAAGCCGTATTTGGGACAAGGACTTATGTCTTGGAGACTCACTACTAAGCAGAATCACTTTGAGGCTCAAGGTGGGTCTCGTTCTCATTCTCCAATCTTCTTTTGTATCGCTGCTTTTGGGTGTGATCATTCAAACTTTGCCGGCCACGACCATGAGGTCGTTCATGATGCATTTTCAATGAAATTAACCTATCCAATTTTGAAATTTCTCTTCATTGTGCGTCGGCCCGGGTTGAATTTTTGTTGATACATAACGAAAATTTCCCATTTTTGAAAAAAATAATTATGGCTATTGTATTGTCCGAAATTATTTTTTTTATTTTGTGCAAACAATATACAGTTTAACTCAATTATAACGTCATTGGATGTAATGACAACCCTAATATAACATCAAATTTTTATTGGTCCCAAGATTTTACTATACTAGATAATGTTAAAAAAAACCCACTTGTAACAGCATAAAACCATTTTAACGTCATATTTGAAGCACACTCAAATTTACAAAATTGATTACAAATTTTATTTAACATAGAAGAAATTACCTGTTCAGTCCTAAGGTCAGAGTTCTTAGAATGACTGTGGGTGGTACTCTCCCCCATCTGACTTCAGTGGGGTGAGGTTCTTGTTTTGCCTGTTTATAGAAGAGGGTCACCATTTTGTATTTTATTTTGACTCGGTTCTTAGTCCCCTGACTACCTATGAGTCTGGATTTTTTTTATGCACAAATGATTTGAACACCTAATACTCTGTGCCAAATATCAACTCTTGACATGTACCCCTTCATACCTCTGTGCTGGTAAGAAAATCGGGCCGTACGATTTTATAAACAAGACATAATCTTCTCAATAACAACAAAAGAGTATCAAAAATTAATTTTTAGATAAATACAATATCAGAGAATATTTTGATGTGGAATGATATTTACATACAGTATGATGAACTAAAACTGATTATCATTACTATATTTATTATTTATAATCCTATAGTTTTAATTATTATTGTGGATAAAATTAAACTGAATTTTACAATATTTATTTGATTATTGAATCTTATTAAATAATTCATTACATATTTTTATCTTGGAATATTAAAAGTTCATAATATTTTGGATAAAATGTGAAAGTTCAGTAAACATGAATGTATAAATTATGCTATAAATACAATGATATAACATTTTTTCCTCTTTATGTTTTATCTAGTGAAAATAATTACACAATTTTGTTTTGTTTTTAAGTGATTGAAATTTAAATTATTATGACAGTTATTCTCATTAAGCATGTATCATAAAATTTCAAATTTTTGTTTTTTTTTTTTATAACATATAAGATTTTATTTTAATATAAAAATAAATTTAACTGTGACTATAAAATTTTTAATTTCATAAAAATTTCACTTTTAAATTAATAAACATATACAAATTTTAAAATACAGATTGCTGAAACACAGTTTGATAATTTTTCAGTTTCATTAAAAATATTCAGATTTTAAATTAATTGAAATCTATAAATATTTGTTTTAAAATATAATATATTTTCATTTAAAAATTTTTAATTGGTATTAAAGAATGTGAGGCTATTTAAGCATAGCCTAATTAATAGTACTTTTTCCAGTTAAGATTTAATGTTAAAATAAGAGGTATGTAATAAAAATTTTGGAGATTGGATAATAATCAAATAATGTTCAGCAGATAGTTTTGAAATTTTTATTTATTTAAAAATAAAAGTGTTTAGATACTTTATTGTTACTATATAAATATGGGCTTAGTTATTTATATAAAAAGTTTTTGAAATAATTAACTCAACAATCTCTAAATCCAGTGAAGAACACAAATTTATTAAATGAACTAATGTTTTTAACTCTGTTTAAAGTCATTCTGTTCTTCATTGAATTTCGGTGTCTTTGAGTTAATTATATATTGTAAATCCAATAATTTCAGTCATTTTTGAAATAGGTAACATGGAGTAAATCTTAATTAATGCACCTTTTAAATATTGGTGAAAGATCATTACTATGGTCTATAGCAGTGTTTCTCAACCTCTATGAATCATCGCCCCCTTCAACGTAGTATCGCTTCCTTCAATAAAACCGTTATGTAGTATCGCCCCCTTTACTTCAAAATTCTGATGCCGAGGGCCAGGGCTAATGCCAAATT